CCAAATACCCCCCCCCCCCCCGAAATCCCGGGGCTCCCGTCAGCCTGGAGGGCACCATAAAACTCCTACGGCTCTGTCCAAGTTCTGGGGTTGAAACTGAACGGGTTATAACTGGGGGGGGGGGGAGGTTGTGCTCCCCCAAATTATAGGGCTGCTGATAAATTATAGGGGTTCGCCGCAAGTTATGGGGCTCCCACAAAGTTACGCACCCCGAAAGTTGTAGGGGACCCCCCTAAAGGTTTATACCCACTGCAGTTGGCTGTAGGGCTCCCCATCAGCTATAGGCTCCCCCAGAACTTATGGTGTTTGCTGGGGGGGGGGGAATCGTCTCTATTTTGGGGTGCAAGAGCGGTTCCCAGGGGAAAGGGGTCCCCGGGCCTGCAGGGTTGGGTCGGTTCTGTCCAACAGGAAAGGAAGCTGCTAAAATCCACCCAAAACAGCAGGGCTGGGTTTGGGGTGCCCTGGGGGCATGGGGTGCACGGGGTACCGGGGTGCATGGAGCTCCCGGCGTGCACAGGGTGCCGTGGGTACCTGGGGGATATTGGGGTGCATGGGGTACATAGGGGTACACGGGTGCAGGGGGTACTAGGGTGCACGGGGTACCGGGATGCACAGGATGCCGTGGGTACCTGGGGGATACTGGGGTGCTTGGGGTACATAGGGGTGCATGGGGTACATAGGGGTGCGTGGAGTGCATAGGGGTGCATGGGGTGCATAGGGCTGCATGGGTTACAGGGATGCAGGGGGTACCGGGATGCACAGGGTGCCGTGGGTACCTGGGGAATATTGGGGTGCATGGGGTACATAGGGGTGCATGGGTGCAGTTGGTGCATGAGGTACATAGGGGTGCATGGGTGCAGGGGGTGCATTAGGGCTGCATGGGGTGCATAGGGGTGCATGGGTGCAGTTGGTGCATGGGTGCAGGGGGTGCATGGGGTACATAGGGGTGCATGGGTGTAGGGGGTGCATGGGGTACATAGGGGTGCATGGGTGCATGGGGTGCATTAGGGCTGCATGGGGTGCATGGGTGCAGTTGGTGCATGGGGTGCATAGGGGTGCATGGGTGCAGTTGGTGCATGGGTGCAGGGGGTGCATGGGGTACATAGGGGTGCATGGGGTACATAGGGGTGCATGGGTGCATGGGGTGCATTAGGGCTGCATGGGGTGCATAGGGGTGCATGGGTGCATGGGGTGCATTAGGGCTGCATGGGGTGCATAGGGCTGCATGGGTTAGAGGGGTGCAGAGGGTACCGCGGTGCAGGGGGATCCGTGCCCGGCACCCACCCGTGCTCAGGTCCCTGCCTGTGGCCCCGCTGCTGTTTGACCCCCCCCGCAGCCTGAAGGCCGGGACAGAGTCCATGCGGCTGCCCCGGCCGCTGGCCCCAGCCTGTCCCAGCCCGTCCCATCAGCCCAGGGCCCGTGACACGGGGTGGGGGGGTCCCGGGGCCATTGAAGTTGGGGGGGGGCTGGATCCCCGGTGTGGCAGCGGGGCAGGGGTCTCGTGGCTCTTGCCCGCCCTCGGGGTGGCCGGAGGAGCCCCCTCCGCCCTGCTCCCTGGGGCTTTCATAGCGAGAATAAGAGCCACAAGCAGGGAAAAAACCGAACTTCCCGGCCCGGGGACCGGGAGGCACCGGCGCGGCCACCCCCGGGGTGTCCGGATGAGGGGCAGCATCTGCAGCAAGCGGGGTACCCATGGGGGCCCGACCCTGCCCCGGGAGCACAAAGGGGCAGCCTTCATCCCCCATCCTTTGGCCCTGATTAATGGACCCCAACGGAGGCACCGAGGGAGCCCCGGGGCAGGCACAAGGCTCTGGTTCCCCCCCTCTCCCGGTTGTGACAAGCAGCCGTGGTGGGACGTGGTGGTGGCTCCTCGGCTCTGGTTTAATCGTTAACACCGAAGCGCTGAGCTGGCTCCGGTCTTGTGCAACCCCTGCGAGCGCCGAGCATCCTCGCCCATTGCACAAGGGCTCCGGTGCCACCAGGCAGACCCCATCCGCGGGCAGGGCGGCTCCAGCATCCCGGCCTGGCATCCCCGGGGATGCCCCTGTGGTACCCACATGCCCTGCCTGCATCCCGAGTGGTGCTGCCAATGGGGACGGAGCCTTGCCCATGCTGCCGGTCTCTCCTGAGCTGCCACTTGCCTGCTTATGGGGAATGGAGCTGGAGGGGGGATAGGGACATGTGGGGTGTGAAGATAACGTGGGGTAGGGGACTGTGGGGTCTGAAGCCATTCGTATGTGGAGTTGTATGGTTGTGGACCTGGTTTGGGCGCACAGCCCTGTGCTGGGTGCTGCCATGTACAGTGTGCAGAGCCGTATGGGATGGAGATCCTTATAGCACCCAGCCCTGTGCTGGGTGCTGCCATGTACAGTGTGCAGAGCCGTATGGGATGGAGATCCTTATAGCACCCAGCCCTGTGCTGGGTGCTGCCATGTACACTGTGCAGAGCCGTATGGGATGGAGATCCCTATAGCACCCAGCACCGTGCAGCACCGCGCACCACCCTGCAGAGCGCAGCACCGTACTGCGTGTGCCACCGTGCAGGATGCGCTGGGCTCCTCCTGCTCGCTCCCCCTTGCGGGAATGGCACCGTGCAGCACCGTCCCCTCATAGAACCACCCCCTTGTAGCCCTGTCCCCTCGCAGCACCTTCCCCTTGCACCATGACAGGGATCCTGCAGGATCAGGATGCAGAGGGATGCTCCCAACCCACCTAACCCAGACCTTCACAGCCAGACCACGAGACTCCAAGTGATGTTTTGGGATGGATCCTTCGTTCACCCCCCAGGCTTTGAGCCTTGTGCTGGGGCTCTGGACACGGTTTCCATCACCCAAGGACGGGGCAGTTGGTCTCTGATGTGAATGCGAGTCTGGCTGTCCCGAATCCCATGAATTATGGACAAGCAGGCAGCCCTGCCCATGGGGCTCCTCTGTTGGGGCAGGTTTGGGAGATGCTTTGGCCACTGAGAGCAGCAGCTTTCCCCAGCCTGGATGCAGCCTGATGCCGTGCCAAGCCTGCCTAACCCTGGTGCAGCAGCACAGTGGTACCCGCATCCAACCTCACCACCACAGGGCCCATCCTGTCTCGGGATGCTCAGGGCTGGTGCAGCCCAAACACGGCTCCCATGGGATTCAGACACTGCAGGAGCCCTCAAGAGCTGCGGGATGGGACGATGGAGACGGGGAGCAGGGCACGGATGCAGGCCGGGGAGCCCACGCAGCGGCTGAGGGCAGGAAGAGCGCGGCAGCATCGCAGCGGGCTCTATCAGTGCCCTGATCTGGCAGCGGCTGCGAGCAGCGCCGGGGCCGGGCCCTGCACCCCAACACCTGTGGTTTGGCACCGCCGCCGGCTCCAACGTCTGCAGCGGGGGCTGCCGAGAGCCTCGTGCTTGTGCTTCATCTCTGCGATGTGAGGGCAAAGCGGCTTCCTGCCTGCTGCAGGGCACGGCACAGCACGGCACAGCACGGCACAGCACGGCACAGCACAGCACGGCACAGCACGGCACAGCATGGCACAGCACGGCACAGCACGGCACGGCACAGCACGGCACAGCACGGCACAGCATGGCACAGCATGGCACAGCACGGCACAGCACGGCACACCATGGCATGGTGGTTCTGCTGCCACAGGTCCCAGTCAGCCCCAGCGAGTACCAGTGCGATGAGGTCAGATGGTTGTAAAGCAGTTGGGATACAGCACCGTGGGACCATCATCAGAGCATCGCCTTGGGGATACAGGGCATCCCTTGGGGAAGGGATGCTAAACTTGCTATGGGGAAGGGATGCTAAATTCGCTATGGGGAAGGGATGCTAAATGCGCTATGGGGAAGGGATGCTAAATGCGCTATGGGGAAGGGATGCTAAATGCGCTATGGGGAAGGGATGCTAAATGCACTATGGGGAAGGGATGCTAAATGCGCTATGGGGAAGGGATGCTAAATTCACCATGGGGAAGGGATGCTAAATTCACTATGGGGAAGGGATGCTAAACTCACTATGGGGAAGGGATGCTAAATGCGCTATGGGGAAGGGATGCTAAATGCACTATGGGGAAGGGATGCTAAATGCGCTATGGGGAAGGGATGCTAAATTCACCGTGGGGAAGGGATGCTAAATGCGCTATGGGGAAGGGATGCTAAACTCACTATGGGGAAGGGATGCTAAATGCGCTATGGGGAAGGGATGCTAAATGCACTATGGGGAAGGGATGCTAAATGCGCTATGGGGAAGGGATGCTAAATGCGCTATGGGGAAGGGATGCTAAATGCGCTATGGGGAAGGGATGCTAAATTCGCTATGGGGAAGGGATGCTAAATGCGCTATGGGGAAGGGATGCTAAACTCACTATGGGGAAGAGAGGAGGAAAGGTTGAGCACCTGGGGGGGAGCAAAGAGTTCTGGGCGCACATCCAGCTCTACAGAACACGTCTGGCATGGGTTGAGGCTGCAGCACCCATGGGAGGTGAGCAGCAGCAAGCGCTGTGTTAATGGTCCCCAGCTCCAGCACTGAGCAGAGCCCCAGAGCTCGCTTTGGCAGCTCCTGGTGCTGCTCATCCCCATCCGGGCTGGTGGGTGCACCCGTTCACAGCCACGCAGTGCCCAAAGCTGCTCCCCCAGCACCAGCACCCACCACAACAGGGGGTTAGATCCGGTTTAAGTGTTTTCTCCTGACACGGATAACCCCATCTCAGCCTTTTAATGGTGTTTGGGAGATGGCAGCTTCTGGAGGCACCTCACTCTTGTACAGACCCATATGGTGGGAATGGGTGACAGGGACAAAGCAGAGCCTGCAGCCTGCTCTGCCCCAAGGCACAGGGTTGGCCCCTGGTCCCCATAACCAGGGGTGTTCAGTGATGGGAGTGAAGCTGCTCAGGGCTTCCTGGGGGCTGGATGGGGCCCTGCTCCCTCCAAGGCAGAGGGAGGAGGATGGAGACCCCTCACTCACAGCATAACCCCAGTGATGAAGGGCCTGATCCTGCAGCACAGAGCCACAGGGCTGACCCCACCACCACGACTGGGCCCAACCCCATTCCCATTGTGGTGGCAGCACCATCCCTGTCCCACCGGGCTCCATGTGGCACCCAGCACCCCCAAACCGCCCATCCCAGGGCACCCAACATCAACCTGGGTCACGATGGGACGAGGATGCTTAAAGGAATATAAAATACATACAGAAAGCCATTGTGGGGATGCAGCCACCCCAGTGGGCACGGGTTCAAGTGTGCCCATCCCGGGGGGGGTTCAAGCCCCTAGAAAGCCAGTCCCATGGGAAGCCACCGTGGTGGGAGCACGCTGGGCTGCTATAGGTTGGTGATGTACACTTCCAGGCCGTTGGACGCCATCCTGGCCGCAGCTCTTTGGGACCCCCCAGCCCAGATGTCCCCAACGCTCTCATACAGGTTCTCGGGGGCCTTGTCCCGCTTTGCTGCCCTCTTCCAGTTGACATCCACGGCCTCATAGTCCGGGTCGGGGCCGCGGCCCTGAATGGTCCAGGCTCTGTCATTGATGGACTCATAGCAGGGGTCCAGAGGGCCATGGGCTGCCGGGGACCAGGACCGGGCCTGGGCACCCTCCTCCCCTGGGGGTGATGCAGGGACCTGGGTTTTCTTCTTGGTGGCTTTGCAGACAGTGGAGTACATCTCTTCCAGCTGCAGAAGGAACCAAGGCATCACTCAATGGGTTGGGTTGAAGGGACCTTAAAGCTCCTCCAGCTCCAACCCCTGCCCCGGGCAGGGACCCCTTCCACTGGAGCAGCTTGCTCCAAGCCCCTGTGTCCAACCTGGCCTTGAACACTGCCAGGGATGGGGCAGCCACAGCTTCTCTGGGCACCCTGTGCCAGCGCCTCAGCACCCTCACAATAAAGAACTTCCTCCTTATATCTAACCGTGAACTTCCCCTGTTTCAGTCTGAACCCATCACCCCTTGTCCCGTTGCTCCAGTCCCTGATGAAGGTCCCTCTCCAGCATCCCTGTAGCCCCCTTCAGATAGTGGAAGGTTGGAGCAATCCCAGCCCACTGGGGTATCTCCATGCCCGTGCCCCCCTCCCAGCTTCCATATCCCAGGAGGATGCTGACAGCAGATCAACCATTCGGGATCCCCTTTGTACACAACACAGGGAGTGTTTTGCAGAACGCAGGGAACAGCATCGCCTGTGGTTGGGGTCTTGGCTCCATCCTGACCCCGAAAACCTCCACAGGTACCACTGCTCCAGCATCATAGCCCAGTTTGCTCTAGGCTGGGACGCTCTGCTCAACACGGGCACCCCATGGATGCACGGTGTGACGTTATCCCCCACGCAACCCCCATCCCTGCCACCCCCAAAGCCGTACCTTCGCCTGGGGGGCACTTCCTGAGCCATCGCAGCACTGCAGCGCCTGGGGGGGCCCCACGGCTGCAGCCGCATCCTGCTCCTCCGCGGGCATCCCCTTCTTCACCTTGCGCACACAGGCGTAATCGGCCGCCCCATGCACAGCCCGAGGCGGGGACACCGGGGGCTCCTCTCCCCCCGTGGCCACGCACTCGTAGACGGTGTCGGGCGCCGGGCGCCGTCGCGGGGGAAAGAGGAGGTTGGAGTAGGTCTGGTCCGGGGGCTCGGGGACCGGGATCTGCGGCAGCTCGCGGTGCAGGAGGACACCGGCACCGTGCTGGGGGTCAGCGGGAGCGGGGCTGGTGAAGTCCAGGCTGGCCGGGCGCTGGGCTGCGGGGACGGGAGATGGGGATGGAGCAGGGACGGAGCCGTGCGGCAGCGCCGCGGCACCGGGGGTGATGCTGCCCCGTGCGCGCACCGCTCCCCTGGGCACTCACCGTGGCCTCCGGCCTTCACCCGGTAGAGCTCGTGCAGCTTCGTGTCCGACTTGCTGAGCGACCGCAGCTGCGTCTGTCTGAGCAGGGACTGCGGGGGGGACACGGAGCCTCAGCGCCAGGGAGGGGAGCTGGGGCGGGAGGGGTTCGCAGCACCCCCAGGGCTCATCCTGCTGCCCCACAGCGTGCTTACCTCATCCACCAGCTTCACCCCGTCCGGAGGGAGCTGCTTCTTCCTGCTCTTGCTGTGGGGAGAAGCGGGGCTGGGCATGGGGCTGGGGGTGAGGAGCGGGTGCCCGAAGACCCCGGCCTGGCCATGATGGGCATCACCGGGTGGCTCCTCACTGGGGCAGCAGCACCCCCAAACCCATCGTCCTGCTCCAGCACCAGCCCCTCTGCAGGGTCCCTGTTGGCTGGGGAGGTGTTGGTTGCATCCTGCATCCCACCAAGCCATGGGGGCACCCCTGGCATCACCCACCCTGCCCATCCCGCTCACACCTCAGCCCTCTCCGGGCTGCTCCTGTGAGCCCTTTGGATGCAGGGGGGGGGCTATCAGGGGGTCACAAGGCACAGGGGAGCAGGATCAGGCCAGGCAGAGCTGGGGCTGGGGTTTAGGCTCAGGGCAAACGGAGCAGCAGATCCCGATGGTCCCAGCTCAGGACAGGCACCGATGGGGTCTCTCTGTGCACCCCAAAGGCCATGGAGGGGTCCCCATGACCAGAAGGGAGGGCAGAGGGGCCGCGGGGCAGCACCTACCGTCTGCAGGCAGCGCACAGGGCGCCCAGGTAGACCAGGCCACCGAGCAGGGCCAGGGCAGCACCCGCTGGCAGCAGCGGGGTCCCCTCCGGCCCCTCGCCCCCCGCTGCAGCCATGGGGCAGCCGCTTCCAGCACCGCCGTGGGGCCGAGCTCTGCAGAGAGAACACAGGAGGTGGGGTGGGAGCGGGCTCGGCAGGGCCGGGGATGGTGCTGCAGGGCCCCGCAGCGCAGCCCCCATGCAGGGAGATGCTCCGGAGGGGGGGACGTGCCCAGGGACCCCCATTTTCTGGCCGGCCGCTGCCCTCCCCACGTCACCTCCACTGCTTCACCCCGGGAAACATCAGAGCTTGGGGTCATCGCTTGCAAACCAACCCAACAAGAGGCAAGCTCCCAAGTGGCCGCTGGGACGTGGAAACGGGGCCCCCAAACCCCTCTGGGATACCCCAAATTGCCCTGGGGCTGTCTGGGGACACGGGGATGGGGTGGCTCCGGCAGGAGGCAGCAAACAGATGAGTCAGCTTCCCGGAAGCGGGGCGAGCTTCACCCTCCCCATCCCCAGGGCTCCCCCTCCAAGCCCGGTGGGATTCAGCCCCATCGATCCCGGCCATGAGGCCTGTGGGGTGCCCGAGGGCTGCAGGATCACCCCTGAGCACTGACCCAGCCGTGGTGGCTCTTGGGCACCTCCGCCAGCATCACACAGAAGGCCTCCGACCTTCCTCTTCCTGAAGGAAAACCCTAACCCTAACCCAGCTCTCTTCCCTGTGCCTTATCCAAGGTCCCCCCTTGCAAACCAAAGCAGAAGCAAGGCAGAGCAAGCACTGCAGAGGAACAAAGGTTTTGGGGAGCCCAACACAAAGAGCAGAAGCTTCCTGCCCCATCAGCATCCTACACCTTTCCCATGGTGAGATCCCATCCCATCCCATCCCATCCCATCCCATCCCATCCCATCCCATCCCATCGTCCCTGTCCCTGCTGAGCCATCAGCAACCCCAGAGCAAAAGCTGCCACCGCTTCACCTGCGCCGTGTCCAGCCAACGGCCGCTGCTCCCAGCTCTGCGCAAGCGCGGCCCCGTGCACGTCCTGCACCCAGAGCAGGCTGGCCTGGCCCTGGAGACGTGGATGCCACAGCTGGAAACTGCCTGATCCCGAGGGAAATGAAGGCAGCTCCCAGCGCCGGGGTGAAGCACGGCTTGAAGAAGCCTCAGGAGCTGATCCTGAGTCCCCAGGTAAGATGGGGCTGGGAGATCCGAGCGGCTTCCACCGGCGGAGCTGGGGACACGGGGATGCCATGGGGCACCCTGAGCACCTCTTACTCACCCCCTTATGTGTCTGAACCCAGATGAGCCCTGGTGAGGAGCCCCCCTGTCCCGGGTGCCTCTGTGGGGCTGCAGCAGCCCCATGGCCCGTGGAGGGACCAACGGCTCCCCTGCACCCTGCATCACCCCACAGCATCCTCATCCCATCTTCACCCCGCACCAGTGAGGCCCTGCCCATTCAAGCACCCTTTTATCTGAGCACTTCCCACGCCTTGGGGCACTTCCCGGGCTGAAGCTTTAACCCCTGGAGAGCGAGGCAGGGTTTAGGGTCTGCCGGGGCTGGATGGACCGGCTGGGATCAGAGCTGGGAAGGGAGCGTTTGCCAGCCCTGTGTGTTTAAGGCTCGAAGGACGGAGGAGCTTCCTAAGCTGACATTAACAGAGGCTGCTCCTGCCCTGCTTTCTGTTGTGGTTCCCACCTGCAGAAACACCGAGCGCCTGCCCCTTGGTGCATTGAGTCCCTGGGGATGCTGCTTCTTGGGACGACGCGTTGGTTCTCCCAAAGGGAGGAATGCGGGGGGAGAAGGCAGCGCCTGGCCCGGGTGCGATGGAGCAGTGAACGTCTCCCCCAGCCCAAGGCGCACCTGAACTGCTGCCAATGGAGTCACTGATCCCCCCGTGCCGGGGCTGGGCTCCAGGCACACGGGCAGGGTTTCCTAAGGCTCCACGAGGCTTTGAGGACGAGAGCGGTGGCAGCCACGTACGGGCGATGCGCACCCGGAGCCTGCGAGCAGGAGGAGCTCCCTGCAGTGACCCCCGAGCCCCGGCACCACCAGTGCAGTTGGTTTCTTACTCCAGGATGTGACTGCTACGAGAGGCCCAGGGTTCCCTCCTGGGCTTCCCAACACCAGGATTGAATTGATGGTGGAAACCGAGCGCTGCTGCTTCGGCCCGGCCTCGGATTCATCCGCCACGGCGTGCTCAGCGCACGGTGACCACAAGAACGGCTCTGAAGCTCCTAAAAGAGCACTTGCACGAAACCAGGGCAAACATCAGAAGCCAATTTCCACCAGTGCCTGCGAGCGTGGCTGCAACAAACCCAGCTCGGGGACCCTGGGGAGCTGCAGTGAGAGAAGAGCCCCAAGAAGCAGAAGTAGGGCTTTTACTTTCAAGTATGAAAAAGGAAAGCCCCGTAACAGGCACCATTGAACCTGCCCTGGATGGGGCCTGGAGCAAGCTGCTCCAGTGGAAGGTGTCCCTGTCCGTGGCAGGGGTTGGAGCTGGAGGAGCTTTAAGGTCCCTTCCAACCCAACCCACATGGGATGCTGTGAAGCGCAGTTTCGAAGCCTAAAGGCGGGTGCCCCCCTGCCCTGCTCGAGGTGACACCGGTTCAGCATCTTCCTTCCCTCCTCCCTTCCACGCTCACTCAGGCAGAGAGAAGCTGAGAACCTGCTCGAGAGGTTTCCTGCGGGGCTGAGCCGCAGCAGACACCAGCAGGGACCTCGGGGCAGCAGGCAGGGCTGGGTGGGTGATGGCGATGGATACAGGTCTGCTCGGGAATCACAGCCACCACAGTGGGTTTCTTGCCACAGACTCCGTGGTTTCACATCACTTTGGGTTTCAATGCCCACGCTCTCTCCGGCCTCCTCCCCTGCAGCCAGCAGCTCAGCAGTCCCCAAGAGCCATTCCACACACGAGCCAAACCCTCCCCACAAGACAACCGGGAATCTTTCAGTGGAGAACCCGACTCCCCACACCTCCGCATCACCAATTCCCCATGGAAGGAACCAGCTCCCACTCAGCCTCCAGCCTCAAGACCCAGCAGTGCTGAGCTCAAGCTCCTTTCCTTCCTTTCCAAGCCCAGAGGCTTCCCGAGCACAAAGCATGGGGCAGCACAAAGCTTTCAGCCCTCCCCACAGCCTGAGTTCACCCCAGCTCATGCTGCCCTGCCGCAGAGCGGGGATCCTGCCTGTCCCATCAACCTCGCTGCAACAGCATCTCCAACAACGCTGCAATTCCCATTAGATGGGGTGGTTCTAAAGGACTTTCCAGGCCCTGGTTTAGTTGCAGACTCAAGTTCACGAGGCAAGAAAACCACCACTTACCTCGCAGAGGCTCAAAGGCTGGTGCCTGTGAAGGGCAGGGATCCAACCATGCTCTCCCCTTTGCACCCGACCTGCAGGATTTGGCTTCTTTTATCCCAACGTTATTCCTCATTAGGGGCTCCCCCCCAGTTGGAACATCTCGATGTGAGCTCTCCCGCTCCTCTTCAGCTCCTTCCAGAGCAGATGGCTCCGAGCAGATACCATGCAGCGCACACCACAGCTTCCTGGGCTGCCGAGGTGGCTGCTGCACCCAATGGGAGGCTGCTTTCTCCCCGCCCTGGCTGCCAGCAGCACCCAGGGACGGGCTCTGCAAGAGCACCCTCTGCTTCCCACCCGGCTGGTTTGGGTCCCAGCCCTCTAGCCCCAGGCAATGGAAGGAAAAGGATGGGTCACCACAGATGAGCATTACCTTGCAAATGAACACTGCCTCGTGAGGAGAGAGGGATCAAATAAACCCCAACTTTATTCACCAGGGATGGGAACTGCCTTGGGAGGGAGGCAGCAGCCGTTCCAACAGGACTCTGGCAAGGAAGGCTGTGGAAATCCCAAGGCAGGGTCAAACCACCACTCGGCCAAGACACAGGGCTGATGGTTCTGGAAGAGGTGATGATGTTAAATAGTGTCAGAGCACAGAACAAGCCCAAGGTGTTTCTCTGCCCAGCTCAGCCCATCAGCGCTGCCTCAGTGCGCACTCATGCTAAGCCAGGCACATTAATACCACTCAAGTGTGGGAAACAGTCACTTGTAAAGGAAGGGCACTGAGCAACCCTTGTTAAACCCTTGAGTTAAGCCCAATGCAGAGAACCCAAATTCAACACAATGAAGATAATACAGCGAGAAACAGACTGATGCTGATGACTCAGGGCAGCCCACAGCACCTTTCCCATCAGCAGAGTCCATCACAGCAGGATCCAAGAGCATGCCAGGAGGAAAAAGTCACTCAGAGGTTCCCTGAAGATGTTCCTCTTGTTCACTTCTGCTGTCTCCGTGTTTCCCAAGGGGTGTCTCCCACAACTCCAATCCCTTCCCCTTCAGCCTCAGCCTTCCTGGTGAGTTTGGCAGCTGGCTGGTGCAGCCCTGGCCAAGCTGACACCTTGACAACAGGCAGAAAAGGTGGCACCAAAGGAGCAAAAGCTCCCATCAGAGAAATGACTCACGGAATAAAAGGAAATTGATTCCTTAAATGAAGGAACAAAGTGATCCTTAAGATACTGGCATGAAATTGGAAACATTTATTTCTTCTAAAAGCAATTCCACTGCACCAGGCCCACCAGAAACAGCCTGATGAAGCCACCATCTCCTCTGGGGCAAGGACTGGCTGCCACCAATGCACAACATAACCTGGGGGAAGACACCCTTCAGGTCCAGCCTGTCCACGCTGCAGGGAAGGGCACTTTGCTTGCTCTACCTGCCTCCAGCCCGGCCTGAAGCTCTGCCACACACAGGGCTGCACCGCACAGACCCATCTCAGGGCTCAGCCAGGGGCTGGATCCAGGCCCTGAGGGGGCTTAAGAAGAGGACCCATGTCCAGCGAGCCACTTGGGACAGAACCTGGGAGGTTTGAAGCTCTGTTACTCTCCTCTTATCCCCGCCAGCTTTGGCACTCCATTTGTGGAAGCACCATGCCAAGTCAAAGAGGCTACAGCATGTCCTGGGATACTCTTACACCCAAACAGATGAAACCTGAAGCTTGAAGCAACAAGAGCCCACCTCCAAGCTGCCAGTTTTCTGCCTGTTCATTACACTGAGGCTACGAGGAGCTGCTCCCCCCCAAACTGTGCTCTCAGCTGAACCCCATGGCAAAACCTGCAAGGCAGAGAGCAGCTGAAGCCATTGGCCTTTGTTGTTTTCACCCTGCTCTGCTTTGGGACCCTGCCTCTGCTCTGTGTTTGTCAGTTGGCTGCCGACACAAGCCACAGTTGACGCAGGATGTGGGGCTTTCAAAGCCCCTCCTCAGCTGCTGTGGAGCCAGCAACGTTACCATCAGAGGAGCTACAGACTCTGTAGTGATAGCAAAGGGAAGAAGTGTGCAAAGAGAGCAGAGAATCCTGTTTCTTGTGGCTCAGGCCCACTGACTGCTTCCAGGATGTGTGCTCCTCCCCTTCCCAGCAATGCTCGGAGCCATCTGGGTATAGGAATGACTGCTTTTCAGCCCCTTTTCCAGGCTGGGCAGCCTGAGACCCGGAGGAGCAGGAAGGCTCCCCCAGGCTCTGAGGCTGTGAGCACCAGGGCTGGCTGGAAAGACAATCACTGCAGCCAAACACCTCTCTGAGAGACTAGAACTGAGTCATCTTCTTGTGTGTGTCTGCTTTCTTCTGCTCCTGCTGCAGACTGGCTTCCTGGGCCTGCAGCTGCCCCAGCTGTTTGTGGGCATTAGCCAGCTTCTCCTTCAGCTGAGCTGTAGCAACACTGTGCCTAGAAGCAAAAAACATAATGGCAAAGTCATCCTGCAGGGGTAAGATCAAAGGCTTGTCATCATCGTCCCAGGAAGGTTTGCCCTTTCCTGTGGGATTTGGACAAGCCACCTGCTGAAAGCCAGGAAGAACCTGATGCTCAGCACAATCTGGGCTAGAAAACATCCTCCTCTGATGCTCAGCAGCACGGCAGAGGTGGGTATGAGAAGGAAAGACTCCAGCACCTTTCCTCTCTTCACCACAGCCTCAATTCCAGCCAAAGGACCCCAAACACACCTGCCAGTGTCCAAGCTGGTCTGAAGCACACACTAAAGTCTCTCTCCTCCTCTCCCCCTTAGATCTCATCCACACACATCACTTACTCCTCCTATACCTCATCTCAAGCCCAGCCCTTCTCCCAGCAGCCCCAGAATTCTCAGTCCCCCCTGTAGTCCCAAAGAGGCCGTTTTCCTACCGCCCAATGTTGCGTTCCAGGGCCTGCTGGATTCCTATGATATCCCTCTGGGTTTGCTCGATCTTCTCCACTGTCTGGAGGAGGCGGACACTCAGTTCTTTCCTGGTGCTCTTGCTGGCGTGGTAGATCTCTTTGCTGGTCCTCCTGGGCACTGCCATCCCTCCAGCCTTCTCCCCCGAGCTCTTCCCTCGCAGCTTCTCATTCAGGAAGTCAAACACGTTGTGGGAAGGCTTCCGGCTGCTTCCCTTGGCTTGGCACTTCCTGGATTTGCCTGGGTCCAGCTTCCCCTGCTTCCTCCTCTGGAGCACCTCCGCACACTGGTCAAGGGACTTCCCTCGAGGCAGCACCACGGCCTGCACTGGCTCCACTCGGCCCTGAGAGTTCTTCCCTAACCCTGAGGAGACACCAAGTGATTGCAGTGAGTGAGGACATCCCCTCTCCGAGCCACCTCCCAGCACAAGCTCACGCTGACAGCCACAAGCTTGGAACAGCTCAGCAGGCACAAGAAGCTGTGACTCCCATCCAAGTCAAGGGGAGCAGCAAAGGCCACAGCACTGGGGGTGCAGACACTGTGAGAGGAGCCTTTGACAGCAGAAGATGTGATAAGACACCCCAGGCCATCGGTCAGGCTGGTTTCTGTCAAACCAGATTCAGCCCCATGTTCTCAGATCCTCAAGTCAGCTTCTTCTTCAAACTGGTTTGGTTCCTCTGGGAGGAGCAGAGACAACTGCAAGGAGCAGACTGCCCTCCCAAAGCCCCCAAGGCTCAAGGCAATTTGTGTAGTGAGAAGCTGGTTGAGCAGGCTTTGAAGTCTGCGTCTAGAGCCAGCAGATGCTTTAACACAGACATCAGAAGCATCACGGATCAGCTCCCTTCCACCTAAAGCCTTTGAACATCTCACACAACAGCTCTCATGGCTTTAATCATCAACTTGACCATGGTTCCAAATGCCTCCAGTTTCTGTTATTACCCTAGAGGGGCTGGTGCACACACACATGTGCCTCTACTTCCTTAACTGAGTTATCCCTTCTTGCCTCCCAACACAGCTGTGATGCCTCACACAGCTCCAGCCTTATCTCTTATCTTCAGCACAGGGAAGTTTTAGCTTCATCCAAAACCTTGCTTTTCTTATCTAGCTTTAGGAACCATGGAGGCAGCACCAGGACCCCCTTCTTTCCCCCTTACCTTTCCCAAACTCGTATCCCATCTGAACAAGCAGTTTGGAGCCGATACCACGAGTATGAGCTTCCCAGCCACCGAAGGAGGAGCTGCATGCAGGAGACCATTCCCCATTCTCTGGAACTCTTGAATCTATCACTGTGGCACAGGAGAGAAGAATCAGTGAAACATGGAAATGAAGCTGCTATGCAAAACCTTCATGTGGGCATCCTCACAGCATGAAACGCCCCCAGTACAATGTACTTTTCACACCCCAGAACCATTTGGATGCTCCTCCAGCCCTGTTTAGTTCCTATTGAGCTCTCACTTTTAGGAACATTGCACAGCAAGTCACTTAACATGAGCTCTCACTTGATTTAATGTATGCACCACCCCACAGTTCCAGGCAGAGTCCTCCAGGAGTCTTTATGCTTCTTTTCCTTCCTTCCTTCCAGGATGGTGATAGAGTGACATACACCATCAGAGTAAACTTTGGCACAGTGGCACATCACACTTATCCTGTGCCTCCAGCTCATGTCTCTGGTATGAAGCTCCTCTAGGCCACAAGGCTAATTCTGTGTTATTAGGATGCAATAATCTCTATTAGGTGACATGTAAAGAGCTCCAGGACACAACTTTGTCCCTGTGATGTACCTGTGGCACTGGCACAGGGGCGGTGTTGCCTGTTTAATCTCAAAGAAGTCACTTGGGCTCTCTTTGTGTCAGCTTTCAGTTGTGAAACAGGGCATGGCTGCTCCTCCAACCTCATCGAGGCACTGGAAGGACCAAACACTCACAGTTACTGGGGTCTCTACTCATGTAGCTACACAAAGCTCTCAGAGACAAGGAAGTCTCCTCACTCACTTATTAGCTCAACTCAGCCAGGCACATAAGAAGCAGACTCCGAGCCTGGAACTCTGCTTCAAACCCTCTTCTTTCACATACTGGAAGTTCCCATGGAAACCTCCAACCTTCATTAACCCACAGCCCAACAGCCTGCATAAACCAAAGGTTTTAGTTTGCAATTGTAACATGCCAGCTGATTACTGCTCAGCAACATACAAAGAGGTGCTTTGCTCTTTCATCAGAGGTGAGACACTTATAAGGGCAGCTCCAGGAGAGTAATTCCATAGGTCCCAGAGGAAGGCAGACCTAGATCTCAAGGTGTTTTGCTCGCACCTTTAGCATAACCAGAATCATCAACACTGTCTTCATCAGACTCGGCAGCCTCTTCACTTCGCAGCGGGGGAATGACACTGTCTCCTTCCACAACAGCTTCCTTGAGCAGCAGAGAATCAAACTTCACCGTGTAGTAACCACTGTCGATGTCTATAGAAGGAAAAGCAAGGACAAGAACCCAGTAAGTATCCAACTGACAGAGGGCTTTCTAAATCAGAGTTAGCTCCAGGGAATGATATGGGAGAGAGGGACGGCCAAAGAACATGTGTTTTAAAGAAAATCTGCTTTTGCTTTGTGCTTTTGTCTGGGAGGAAGAAGCACCCACTGCAATGAAAAGCTTCTTCCATGCTGCCTGTGTTGAGACTTAAAGGTTCACTTCTAATAATTAAGATGGGCTGTTGGAAACTGAATCAAAGCGAAGTTAAAGACTTGCTCCCCACTGACCTAACAACAGGCAAAGAAAGATGGAAAGAGAGAAATCCCAGGCCAGGAGAAGCCTGTGTCAGCAGCTGATGGGCAGGGCCAGTCCCTGACTTCTGGTTAAACAAGAGGAGATGATTGTAATTCGAACCCAACATGCATGCAAATCCCTGCATCACCTGCCTCCTCCCTTCCTGGGCAGTTAACAGAGACACTGTCATAGAATCACAGAACAGTTCGGGTTGGAAAGGACCTTAAGATCATCCAGTTCCAACCCCCTGCCATGGGCAGGGACACCTCACACTAAACCATATCACCCAAGGCTCTGTCCAACCTGGCCTTGAACACTGCCAGGGATGGAGCATTCACAACCTCCCTGGGC